TTTAAATTCCAGGGTACCTTAGTTATTGCTTTTTCAACTTAGCCCAGTCAGCCAAAACTTTCACTTCTTATCTTCCTCCTGCACGTTCTTTTCCAGTTGAGTACTTCTTTGAGGTGGCCATTTCTGACCACCACTCCTACAGCCTTCGGGAAAGGGAGTTTGACCAGCTGAGGAGGAAAGATGCGGCTCTCCTCAACCCTGCTGGCAGTCTCCGCCTTCTTCGCCACCTTTACAGGGTGGCTTAGCCCTGAAACCAGCCAGCTTGGGGTGCTCCAGCGGCAAGCCCAGGCAGAAACCGTGCACGATCACGGATTCCTGTCTGTCACCGAAGCCCTTCAAACTGGAAGCTCTATTCTGATTGATTGATTGATTGTATAAAGCCCCAGTTTATAAAATGTACTGTAGAAAAAATATATTAAAAGAGAAAGAAGTCAATATGTAGGGAAAATAAGTTTTCTGTTTCAGAGATCAAATATTGAAAATTGTTAATCAGAAAATGTTGCCTTGAAAAGTCATTCTTGAACATCAGTATTCTTTTTATGTAAAATTTAACTCTCCTTCAATCTTCCAGAAAGAAAAGAAGAGCAACAGAATGGCCATGACAATAAAGCATTTTTTTCTTCTTCTTTTTGCTGCACTGAGCAGTTTAAATGAAATATTAGCACTAAGTGTGTACTGTCTGTATAACATGTGTAACTGTGTTTTCCATTATATAATTCCTCACTGTAAAAACAAAATGAAGAAGAAGTAGTCAGGGAGAGAGGGAGGAAAATGCAAGAAAAACAAATGGAGATATTGCTGTAAAACAATTAGGAGGAATGGAAAGAAATAGCCATTTTTTCATTAATGGGATAGGGAAGGATATCAGCTTTGAGATACCTTCCAGTAAGTCAGGGGCCAAAGTGGATGTTTTCCAGATAATGGTCCATATTTAGTCTTTGATTGTCATGATGGAGGCTGTGCCCGAAAACAACAGAGAGGACCAGACCAAAAATGCAACACATTTTAATTTAATTTTCATGTAATCAAAATTCGAGTATTACCAGGTCATATATTTCTTCCTTCAGTTGTATTAAAATTTACAATTTTGTAATCAATGTTTGATATTGTTAGAGTTTGGAGCAGAAATTCAAGTCCAGAAAACACACAGACTGATTCAGCAGGATCATTAACTTCTTTATAAACATATTAATATGAGTAAAGTTTACAATGCCATTTGTAGATTCTTTCAACGTAACATAAGCAAAAACACAAGCAGCAGCAGCTCAGAGCAGAGATCTGTTGCAAGCAAGCAAATCTAGTTTCAGTTTCACTTCTCAGCAAAGCACCCAGAGCCAAACCACACCCAAGCTGTCAGCTCCCATTGGCTGGTCTGTTGCCATGCTTTCTCACTTACTGACTTTGTTAACCATGTCTCTGCCAGTTAATGAATATACTCTGACATATATCTGAAGATAGCAATCAGAGCTTGGGAGATGCATCATAACCTTGGCTTATAGGTTTTGGTGTCAGCTCTTAGCAATCATCTAGACATATTTTCACTGTGATGGTATGTCCCTAACCTGGTCTCTCAGGTATTCAAACACTGAATAAACACTCAATTTCACTGTAATTGGGTCCATCTATCTTGCTGCTGATTGCCCTCTTCTGTTTTTTTTTTCCTTCTGTTTTTTTCAGCAATAGAATCTTCTCTAAAAAGCAAGGCTTTGAATAGTGTGCCTGAAATAGGATAACTAGGCTCAAATTAGGGTCATTTGTGCCTAAAGTGATAACCAGGGGTTGGCTTGTTGGATGATCCATTTGCTTGTTTTCTTGACTGTCAATGTTATCCTTAGGAGTCTTCTCCAATACCAAAAGTACCAACAGCTTCCTATTCTGTTTCTTCAAAGTCCAACTTTCATTTCCATAGAACGTCACAGGGAATATCATTGCTTGCACTATTCTTGACTTTGTACGTAGACCTTCTGCCTACAGAAGAAAGCAAAACAAATCACAGAAATCCAGATTATGTTTGTCTTTAAACGATGGGGCATATTTGTTTATTTATTCAATGTATATGGCTGCCGATCTCACTCACATAACTCTGGGTGATGCACAACATTTAAATTACTTCCTGTTCCTCAATGTACAATCACAATTGAATCCCAGATACCTGTTGTTAACGAGGCAGTTGTTAAGTGAGTTATGTTCCATTTTACAACCTTTCTAGTCATTGTTGTTAAGTGAATCACTGCAGTTGTCAAGTTAATAACATGGCTGTTAATGAATCTGGCTTCCCCGTTGACTTCACTTGTCAAAAGGTCAGAATAGAACTGCAAAGGACCTTTGAGGTTTTCTCATCCAAGTCCCTGTTCAAGCAAGTGATCCTATACCATTTCAGACAAGTGGATATCCAGTCTCTTCTTAAAAACCTCCAGTGATGAACCATCCACAAATTCTGAAGGCAAGCTGTTCCACTGGTTAATTGTTCTCACTGTTAGGAAGTTTCTCCTTAATTCCTGGTTGCTTCTCACCTTGATTAGTTTCTTGTCCTGACCTCTGGTGCTTTGGAAATAAATTGACCCCTTCTTCTTTGTGACAGCCCCTCAAATATTGGAAATTGTCCACTAGGATTCCAAAGTCCCTCTCACAGTTACACTTTTTGATCTCAAAAGATGATCACATGACCTTGGGACACTGCAACCCAGAGGTGGTATTCAGCAGGTTCTGACCAGTTCTGGAGAAATGGTAGCGGAAATTTTGAGTAGTTCGGAGAACTGGCAAATACCACCTCTGACTGGCCCCACCTTCATCTATTCTCTGTCTCTTGCGTCCCAGCTGATTGGCTGGGTCTTCTTTTGTTGCCCTGCACAGGAGAATGGAGCTGGAAAGCAGGTTAGTGGGGTGGGGAGGGAATGGGGATTTTACAGTATCCTTCCCCTGCCACGCCCACCAACCCACACCACGTCCACCAAGCCACGCCCACAGAACTGGTAGTAAAAAAAATTGAATCCCACCACTGCTGCAACCATTATAAGATGAACCAGTTGCCAATCATCTGAATTTTGATCATGTGTATATGGGGAGGCTGCAGTGGCCATAATGTGATAAAAGGTCATAAGTCACTTTTTTCAGTGCCATTGTAACTTTGAAAGGTAACTAAACAAATGGTTCTAAATCAAGGATTACTTGTACACATGCACATACATACACATAGCTAAAATGAAGCCCCCCCCCCAAAAAAACATACAATATCCAGAAAACTATCTTAAACAATGCCTTCAACAGGAAACATGTTCCATCACACACCTGGAGCCCCAGGCTTGGGCACAGAACCAGGTCTCCAAAGATTTATCAAAGGCCAGCAGGGTGGGATTCAACCTAATCTCAGAAAGGATTGTGCTCTTCAAGGGCCCACCACCACTTGAAATTCCTTGGCCAATGATACCCATTGCATGGTTCTCCCTGCCAAATTGGATTGGATGGATAGAAACAAGCAGGAAGAGACATCCCATAAGTAGCCACTCCCCAAGCCATGTAGGTCTACTACTATCACCTTGAATTGCACCTGGAACCAAACTAGTAGCCAGTGCAGCTAATGTTGTATAGGCTATCTGATTTTTTTTCATAATTTGGCAAGCTCCAACTTGATGTAAATAGATTTACAGTCATATAACATGACAGCTCCTTGTTGTCCCTTCGGCAAACAGCAGGCACACACACTCAAATCAGCTCCGGTGAGTTTTTCAAACTGACAAAATACATTTGGAAAATGCACAAGAGAGTTTTAATAAATTCTTTCCTCTTTCATCATTTGTTTCCTCTGAAATGCAGAATATAATACTGAAAAGTCAGTGATGAATGCAGTCCACTTTTGTGTATACAGATCTGAGATCACAGTTTTCCAGTGTTTTAGTGATCATAGCATGTTTGATCCACAATCTGTTTATCAAAATTAACAGTGTTTAGATGAGGCCATATGCGCTATAACAATTTATATGAATGAAAAGCTGCATATATTATGGGAGCTGATACTTTAAAAACATGGGCCCACGTTCTATTCAGATTTTCCAATGCATCAGTGCAAAACTATACAGTAACTGAGGGAGATCAGATGCAGAAGAAGAAAAGATGGCTGGTGCCCAGAATCCATTTCTAGCACATTGTCCTCCTCACGTTAAGAAAAGGTTTGTAGACAGCAGTGAAATGTCTGTCAAACATGGCTTGCATCTGTAGTGTTAAATGATACAGTCTTGCATGCATGCTTGTTTCGCACTTCTAATTTGAGAGGCATTGCATTGATACTCTTTTTGATATAACACCTTGTCAGAGAAATAGAAACTCACAGCAGCTTCAAATATTTGTGCCAGGATATATTCAAAACTAGCTTGGATATAACTTAACATTTTTTGTTTTGCCCAGTGCATTTTGTAGTGTTGGAAGAAATATCCATCTGGTTCAGTTCCAAGCTGGGAAAAAGACACTGGAAACATGGAGGCCAATTGGAAAGATGGTTTAATGGTGAAGCAGAAGTACATGGGGGCGTTCTGGGCAGCTGACCACATGGAGTTGTCAGAGAGGGGTATTTATACCTTCTCCTGGGCTTTGCACTTGAACTTCCTGTTCCTGTGCAAGAACATGTATTCTATTGGCTGTTGTGGGAGTCATAGTTAATTTTGTAGGTTATCTGAGTCCCAGGTTTGATTGAAGTTTGGACTCTCTGAGATGATGCAATGAAGAGGTATTCTGAAAGGGTGATGGGCAGCAGTGGGATTCTACCAGTTTGGACCAGTTCAGGCAAATCGGATGTTAAATTTGCATCTGGTTCGCCGAACTAGTATTTGAACCAACTGTCTGGCCCTGCCCACCACTCCCCACTCCCATGAGTCTCCACATGATCATTTTCAATGCGGGTAAGTGCAGGGTCTGCACGGAGGCTCTGGGAGGGGGAAAATTGGCCTTCCAGAAGTACCAGAAGTTTCCGGCTTCCGGAGAGCCTCCAGAGCCCAAGGCAGCCGCTTTCACCCTCCCAGAGGCCTGAGGGAAACCTCTGGATCCTTGGGAAGGTAAAAAAAACGGCCCTCCTGGGAGTTCTGGTAGTCCACGCCCACCATGGCCACACCCACCAAGCAACTGGGCAGCGAACTGGTGGCTGGGATTTTTGAATCTCACCCATGGTGTTGGGCAATTCCTATTATGGAATAATGGCTTTGTCCTGGAGGGTCATATCTTAATTCCATCACCCTGGAGCTGAAGGTCTTTTGTCTTGTAGATAGGCTGACCCAGTCTTTCTTAATGGGTATCAAATATTTGCTGGGGGCAGTGAGCTGCTTTCTGTCTTTAAACCATGTTTCTTCTTTTCTCATCCAGGGAAATGTAATATTCTGACTTTTTAATAGTTCTCAAAATAGTTCATTCTTCTAGGAGAGAGGTGGGGGATAACTTTCCACAGTAGTTTGGTGCCCAAAACTATGCCCAGTTACTGAATGAACAGTACAGAATAAGTGGAGGCATTGTTAAGTCATGCTCATGAATCCAACCACATAACTTGCATAGAAGCAGTTAATCACAGCTTTCCTCCAGAATGTTTCGACTTTCCATTCTAGCCTATAACCCTGGGATATTCTGAGGGTCTCCCCTGCAAGATCCGAGCCTAATTAGCTCCCATGGCCAGACAAGTTCACCTACATGCTACCATAGCTGAGCAGTGTGATTTGGAATAATTTGTCAGCTTGACCTCTTGATATCAGCACTGCAGAATTTATACCAGGCAGGCATGACTTAATGGAATGAATCAACTAATAATTTTATGAAACAGCTAATTATAAATTCAATATTTTATTAGTTACATTTAGAAGTGAGAGCCATATGAAGAGGAGGGCAAGTAGGTGCTTGATGACTAGCTCCCAGCTCCTGATGTCTCGGTAACACAGACATATTCTAAAGCAGAGGGGCGCAACTATGGCAACTTTACAACTTGTGGGTGTCAACTCCCAGAACTCCTGAGCCACCATGGGAATTCTGGGACTTGAAGTCCACAGGGTGCAAAGTTGCCCACCTTTGCTTCAGAGCGCTCTTCCTGCTCACATGCTTAATTCCTGTACAAGAATCCGTACAGCAGGTGGTAATTAACTGCAAACGTTTACATAATTCATTTTTAAGTATGATATTACTATGGGATTTAGATGGGCACAGAGAGGTTTTTTAGTTAACTCTTTCTGTCTTCTACATCATCTATCTATCTATATCATCGATCTCATCTTCTATCTATCCATATCTCTCTCCCTCTGCCTCTCCCTCTCTCTCTCTCTCAGTTGGGCTTTAAAAAATGTAGGCTAGAAAGAATATTGATGCCTTTGAAATTTGTGTTGGAGAAGACCCTTGAGAATACCCTGAAAAAAAAATCTAGGAGACAAACAAATTGATTATAGAACAAATCAGTTCAGAGGCTGATTTGAGGCACAAATGACTAGTTTAGTTTACTTTACTTTATTGTCATTGCACCTTGTACAATGAAATCAAACACCATCTTCAGTGCAAATCATGATCATGACCATGAAAATAAACACAAACAAACATCTTTCACCCTTCACACATTGAACCGGAAACCCCCGACACCACACCAACACTGCACTATACAGCAGAATTCAAAAGAGCTACTGCCCTGGGATAGAAGCTGTTTTTCAGCCTATTTGTCCTTGTTTTTATTATTTGTACCGTCTGCCAGATGGTAATAGTTCAAAAAAAGGGTGCCCAGGATGAGATGGATCTTTGAGAATGTTTTGAACTTTCTTAAAGCAGTGGGAGCTATAAAGCTCTTCCAAAGAGGGGAGAGGGCAACCAATGATCTTCTGGCAATGATATTAACCCTCTGGACTGCTTTTCTATCTGCCACTGTGCAATTGGCAAACCATACAGAGATGCAGTATGTTAAAATGCTCTCTATGGTGCAGCAGTAGAAGGTCACCAGCAGTTTTTCATTCTGTTGTTGTTTTCTGAGAAGCCTCAGGTAGTATAATCTCTGCTGGGCCCTTTTGATCAGGGCTGCAATGTGGGCATCCCAGGTCAGGTCCTCTTTTATGGTAACACCCAGAAACTTAAAACTGGCCACTTGCTCCACTCAGTCTCCATTGATAAGCAAGGGCTGGATGTCTGATCTGTTCCTTCTATAATCCACTGTAAGCTCCTTGGTCTTATTGGTGTTGAGGACTAAGTTATAGTCTTCACACCATGAAAGCAATCATTTGGAGGCTCAAATGATTATATTTTGGACAGATTATGTGAAGACCTAACTCTCTGGAGAAGCACATAATGCTGGGGAAGGTAAAAAGAAAGTGAAGAAAAGGACAACCAGCAGAAAAATGGATGGATCCAATTAGAGCAATGACAGGTATATCACTGGATATTCTTGATGTTACCTAGTTGGGTAATGAAACATCTGCAAGCTAAGAGCTAGGGAGCAACAAAGACTCCACAGTTCAACCCTGAGCAACAGATATTATCCTTATGGGAAAATTAAATATGGACACGTGTATGTATAATCATAGCAGAACTTAAGAAAACTTGATTTGATCCAATTGCTTGAAAATCCTGTTCTTGACCATCTGCCATAAAAGGACCAATTGACAAATATGCCGATTAATCTGCTGCTTTGGGTGACGTGTTAATTTATCCTTCCGAGATTGTATCACAACTCTTGTTATATTAGCCACATTTCAGAGCTGATACATAACAGAATCTGACTGATTCATCCATACCTAAGAAATCCCATGAATTACACCCATAAAAACTAAAGGAATTACATGAAAATAAATTTTGTGAAACATATGCATTATTCAGCTATTTAAAGGTGATGTTTGTTTTCAGTAAACCGATCACACCTTCCGATAAGCAGTTTTCTGCAGCATGCAAAATAATCTACCAGTAAAATCTCTGTGATACAGGAAGTTGTTTGGACTTCAAAAGCCAAACTATCTGATCCCACATTAGAGTGATTTAAAACTGTGACAGTAGCAACAACAAAGCTAACTTTAACATTTTAAAGTCTCATTAAACCGTAAGTCCTTTGAACATCCTCATTTGCTTATACCATCTGGGCCAGATCCTTGGTGATTTTAATGTAACACCAAAACTGCTGAGCACTGAAGTTCTTCCATGCACCAAGTTCACCTTCACAAATTTGGGGAGGAAAGAGAGAGAGAGAGAAAGAGGGAGAGAGAGGAGGGGGAATATAAAGGAATTCATGAACGAATTAAAAATGCTGAATATACTAAACAAAAAGCTTTTGCTGGGAGAAAAAGCCACCCTTCCATCATTGTTCACAACAAAAGTGCAATTGACAATGTGCTCTTTTTATGTCAGAGACTCTAGCATGAGGCTAAACATGCAAATGATTTTTGGAGGTGGTTAACGAAAGGAGCTGATTAATCCCAATTGACAGTCAGTTTCTTGCAGGAAGGCAGTGAGATGATTGATTTACCCCAATGTGTGCAGGGTCGATTGCATGACCTCAATCCAATTTCACAAAGTCCAGCTAGAAGACCAAATACAGAAGCCGCCAAATGGAAGATTAAGTGCTGGCCAGCTTAGACAGCGGTCCCTTCTATACAACTATCCCTAATAAAGCCACTTTAATCCTTCTTATCATTTACAAATAGGCATCTATAATTCTACTATTTATTTCAATCAGCAATATGGGATCCAATAAATTCTTAATGATTGCGGTAGAAGAATTAATATACTGCAAAACATTTTAAGGGTGGGCACTTAGTTCACAAAAGACACCACTGCTCACCTAAATTATTGCTGCTTATTTGAAACAGTTATGAGTTCTAATCCTTTTCTGGATATAAAAGAGGTGAATTATCCTGTATTGGACCATTTCAAAGAACACATTCTAGCTATATCTTCAGTAGACTATAAAAATATAACCCTTCCACAATTTTAGACACCATTTTTAAGATCAGCCTATATGGATACTGTTTACACTCTTGCTTCTATTTTGATTACATCCCTACTTGAATTTCAACATGATTTATATTGATAATCTATTTTAATTACTTTATAATCAGAAAGGCAGAGTAGAAATATTTAGATGTAAATAGATATCAATTTTGTGCTATAAAAGAACCCAGAATACAAATTGAAAATCAGTAGTCTGAAAATGCCTAATAGAAAAGTACAATCACTCACTGAATAGCATTGTTTTCCTTTACTATGAACACCAGTCAAATTATATTTCTGCTATTTGTTTCTGTCATCAGTTGCTGGGGTGGGGAGGGGAGCGATTATCCCCACATCTGTACCAATTATAGCTTTTTAAGTGGTATCTGCTTAGCTACAATGTGACCCACTGATATTTATACGCTGTAGATATGTTACATAGCCCAAATCAGAGGTGGTATTCAGCAGGTTCTGACCAGTTCTGGAGAACCTGTAGCGGAAATTTTGAGTAGTTTGGAGAACCAGAAAATACCACCTCTGACTGGAGATTTTACAGTATCCTTCCCTTGCCACACCCACCAAGCCACGCCCACAGAACCGGTAGTAAAAAAAATTGAATCCCACCACTGGCCCAAATCATATAATGCCTTTTTATTTCAACCCTGATCCGTAAAAATCACATGAAGGTTTAGATCAAGTTTGCCCAATCCATGGTCTTTGATTCACATGCCCTTGGACAGCTACTAATGCAGCCCCATCATCATAGATTGAAGGGACCTTGAAGGTCTTCTAGTCCAACCCCCTGCTCAAGCAGAAGCTCCTGAAGCCCCTGAAATGGTGTATTGCAGACAAATGGATGCCCAATCTCTTCTTAAATACCTCCAATGATAGACCACCCACCACTTCTTAAAGTACACCATTCTACTGATTGATCATTCTCACTGTTAGAAAATTTCTTCTTAGTCCTAGATTGCTTGACCATAAACTGTCAACCTTATTCTGTGATTCTTTAAAAAAAAAAACATTTTATTGATTTTACAATTAAAACAGACCAACAACACATACATAAATGTAAGAGAGAAAAAGAAAGGGTTAATTTGTCCATTTCTGCACAACTTGAAATTTTTTGAATAATCATCTCCTCTGATGGAACATGAAGCTGTTTCCAACATTGTGCAAAAGCCAATCTGGCTGCTGTCAAAATATGTATTATGATACATTTCACTTTTTTTGGTATTTGTTTATCAAAGATCCCTAATAGAAAGGACTCTGGTTTGAATTCGATCTGTTCTCTTGTCATTTCCTCCAGCCAATTTCTAATTTTCTGCCAATATTTTTGAGCTTCTGTATAAGACCACCACATATGGAAGAAAGTTCCCTCTCTTTTTTTGCATTTCCAGCAATTCGGACTCATATTGGGGTGCATCTTCACTAATCTCGGTGGAAGGTGCCATCTATAAAACATTTTATAGGCATTTTCTTTGTATGCTACCAATTTTGTTATTTCTACCCCAGACCTTTTCCCATTCTGTTATGGTGATACTATGTCCTATATTCCTACTCCAGGCTATCATGTTCCCTTTAACAATTTCTTCTTCTAATTCTACCTCTAATAAATAATTATAAAATTTTGTTATATTTTTTTTGCCCGATCCTAATAAAATTTTATCTAATTGCTGGTGTTTATTGTTAATTCCAAATTCTTTCTCGTCCTGTTTGTATCTACTTTGAATTTGAAGATATGCCCACCGATCAATTTTTAATCTCTGATCTTGAAGGTCTTGTCACGATTTCAGATTTCCTTGTGTATCCAATAGGTCCTTATATTTAATCATTTTAGTAATATCCAGATTATTTGGGTGAATCATCGCCTCCATTGTTGAGATCCAAATTGGTATTTTTAAATAGTGTTTTTTCCGTATTTTCTTCCAATTAGTCAATAATGAATCTCTAATTAGGGGTCTGTGGAAATATTTCTGGCTAGTTTTCCCAACATCCCATAAAAAAGCATGCTACCCCTTTTGTAAGCCATGGCCTTCTAAGAATAATATTCTTTTATTGGTTAAATTCACCCATTCTTTCAACCATACTAAAGAGGCTGCACTATAATACAACTCCCAATTTGGAAGTGCCAACCCTCCCCTGCTCTTCATATCCTGCATTTCCTTTAAGTTTATTCTTATTCTGTGATTCTTAACTTCATTAAATATGTTTTATATTTTATATGTGGCCCAAGCCAATTCCCCTTCACTCAATGTGACCCAGACAAGGCAGAAATTGGACACCCATAGTTCAGATAGAAAGAAGTTATAAGTCTGGGACCTTTCAGGTCAGACTGTTTTCTCCCCCATTTCTCTCAGTATGGGACTTTCTAGAATAGCGAATGTTGCCCTCCCTAACTAGTTAACATCAAAATATTTTTTTAAATTCAGAATCACCATCACAATCAAAACCTTGGTAGATCATCCAAGGGCTTGACAATCCCATCCTTGCCAGATGTGATGTCCATCCACATGTAAATGCATTGGAATGAAAATAAAAAAGGAAGAGTATAAATTACAAGCTTTTGCAGATGATTTGGTCTTTATATTGGAAGAACCATTGGAAACAGGCCCTAAGTTGATTAGAGAAATAGAGTTTGGTGAAGTAGCAGGATAGAAAATAAAGAAAAAACAAAAATCTTGGCAAAAAATATAACAGAAAAACAAACGAAAAGATTAATGGACAAATTAAATATTCAAATTACAAAAAAGTGAAATATTTAGGGATACAAATGACAGCTAGATGAGGAACACTTAAAGAAGATAATTATGAGAGATTATTACAACAGATTGCGATGGACTTGGAAAAATGGAAGAATTTATAACTATCTTTAATAGGTAGAATTGTGACAATTAAAATGAATATATTGCCAAAAATATTATACTTATCCCAGACAATTCCAATTAGATTGAAAAAAAATATTTTGAAGATTTAAATAAAATGATGTTGAAATTTATTTGGCAGGGGAAAAAGACAAGAATTAAGATAAAACTATTGCAGGAGGCAAGGGTGAGAAGGGGTTTTGGATTACCCAATTGGGAACTATATTATCAGGCAACAATATTGATGTGGATGAAGGAATAGATTGTACTGAAAAATGCCAGATTATTAACACTAGAAGGGAATGATTTACAGTTGGGGTGGCATGCATTTTTATGATATAAAGAAAGTAAGGTACATGGATATTTTAGAAGACGCTACATTAGGGATGCTTTATTAACAGTAGGGGAAAAAATAAGAGACTATCATTATATGAAAATACCAGTCTGGTTATCAACATTAGAAGCTTTTACATATCCACAGCTCTTTAAAAAGGAACACATTATTAGATATGAAGAAATTTTAAATGAAAAGGGTGAACTCAAAACAAAGCAAGAATTAGAGTTACAAGGGATAAATATAAATTGGTATTCGTATTTGCAAATACATACAAGGTATGAAAAAG